CCAAGGGGTCCTGGACTGCAAATGGGCACAGGTCGGGCTGAGGGACCCCTCCCCAGAGTGCAAATGTTTGTGCACCGGGCCTCTAGTGTTTTCATATTTGACAACTCATTTTCTTGCATGTCAACCTCTTACAGTTCCCAGCATTTGTTCATACTGTCTGCTCAGGAATGACTTTTCTCTTTACTTTGTGCCTATGAAATCCTACATACCCTACATGGTTTTAACTCCAATGCTGACTCCTTATACTAAATCCTCTCCTGATCCCATCTTATACCACCAAAAGTAACATATCATTTCTCTTTAACCAGCACACTATTTAAACATCTAGTGTCTTCCTATATAATAAAAGGCAAATATGCAAATTGTCCGCTCAACTGGGAGTTTGACCAGGGGTGGGGCCAGTCCACCAACCACCAGCAGCCCCTCCCCTAAGCCGGCCACGCCCTGATCAGGGTGGGGACAGCTGGCCAACTGCCTGTGGCCACTCTCCCCAGCCAGCCTGCCAACCTCCCACATCCCCTCCTCCCAGCTGGCTCAGGCCAATCAGCCCTGATCAGAGCGAGCTGGCTGGACCCACTGGTGCATGAATTTGTGCACCGGACCTCTAGTTAATTATAAAATGAAGCAGAATGAAATATTTAGAGTCTACTTACCCACTAGATCAGCCGTGGGCAAACTACGGCCCGTGGGCCGGATCCGGCCTGTTTGAAATGAATAAAACTAAAAAAAAAAAAAAAGACCGTACCCTTTTATGTAATGATGCTTACTTTGAATTTATATTAGTTCACACAAACACTCCATCCATGCTTTTGTTCCGGCCCTCCGGTCCAGTTTAAGAACCCATTGTGGCCCTCGAGTCAAAAAGTTTGCCCACCCCTGCACTAGATACTAATATCATCGAGAGCGGGGACTGTGTCCTATGATTCTTTCTATATTATTAGATCGAATTGGTGTGGCCCAGTGGTTGAGCATCAAGCTATGAACCAGAGGTTACGGTTCAATTCCTGGTCAGGGCACATGTCTAGGTTATGGGCTCAATTCCCAGTGGGGTCATTCAGGAAGCAGCCAATCAATGATTCTCTCTCATCATTGATGTTTCTCTCTCTCTCTCTGTCTCCCTTCCTTTCTGAAATAAATAAAAATATGTTCAATAAATAAATAAATAAACAAATAAATAAATAAATAAAGTCCTGGCCCTTGCTAGTTTGGCTCAGTGGATAGAGTGTCAGCCTGTGGATTGAAGGGTCGATTCTGATTTGTTTCTGGTCAGGGGCATATAATTCAGGTTCGATTCTGGTCAGGGGCATAATTTTTTTTTTAATGTCTTGGACAAGTATTAGCAATCAAACTCTCCCTTGTCAGTGTGGCTCAGTTGGTTGGGCATCATCCTGTGCACATAAAAGTTGCTGGTTCAATTCCTAGTCAGGACACATGCCCGGGTTGTGGGCTTGTTCCCCAGTAAAGGGTGTGTAGGTGATTAATGTTTCTCTCTCTCTCCCTCTCCCTTCCTTGGTCTCTACAAATCCATAAAAATCTTAAAAAACACAAAAAAACAAACTCATTAAAAAAATACACACACACACACACACACATATGTGTGTGTGTGTGTGTGTGTGTGTGTGTGTATATATATATATATATACATATATATATATATAGTGCCAATTTTGTGTCATTTCTGGATTTATTAATCCAAGTATCTTATTTCATGTTTTAAATCAACATTACTCATTTATTATTATTATATATCACAAGTATTTTAAAACTAGAGGCCCGGTGCACAAAATTCATGCACAGTAGGGTCCCTAGGCCTGGCTAGCAATCAGGGCCAATCTGTGGGGCAACCGGCGGGGTGACTGGGGCAACCAGTTGCACCCACCTTGGTCTGACACCGCCCACTCACCAGCCCTGCCCCCCACTACCACTACCACCACTGCCACCACCGGTTGGGGCCTGCGGGCTGGGGGCAGCTTCTGCATTGAGTGTCTGCTCCCTGGTGGTCAGTGCACATCATAGCGACTGGTCGTTCTGCCCGTTCGGTCTATTTGCATATTAGGGTTTTATATAGATAGATCTGCTAAGGCAAGCCTGTGCCCCAGTGTTGTTGTTTTAGTTTGTTTTTGTGGTACGAAAGAGGCCACATGCTAACCTGACAACCTCAGGGAAGGCTTGCATGGCTGTCTTGCAAACTCAAAGACTTAAAGTAACCACAAAGGATGGTCTGAAAATTAAACTTTAACTAAAAGCAGTTATGGTGGGTAGTCACCTCCTAGGCCGGTATCTTCCCTGACAAAGTCAACCTTTACCTTTACTGAGCTTATTGTCTTTTTTTCATTTATGATAACATATCATTGAAATGTCAGGGTAACTTGTAACTTCCCTTTTTTCCAGACCCCTCAGGGCACAACCAAATGTCCTGGGTGAAAGGACAGATACCACAAATTCATTGGTATTGTTATCATATTAATTGTTGATTGTTAACTATCCTGTACCCACCTAAGTAATGTGTCTATCATTTTACTGTCTATCCAATCCCAGGGGTTTCCCTGCTTTGCTTTCTCCTGCCTCTCTAATTTATCACTAATGGATTTCATGTAACCCACCTACATCTCCTACTTTAATGGTGAAAAACCACCATTCTCTGGAGCATTATCCCAATTCCTTGAGATTCTGCTTCCAGGCAATTGTTGAGTTTGGCTCAAATAAACTCACAAAAATTCTTTACATGTTTGAATGTTTTTATGGTAACATAGTACTGAAAGTCAAAAAATTTTGTGAATTTCCTTAGGAACTCAATTTCTGAAACACAAATTATGGCTTGGTCCATTCCAGCAATTATAAGAAAATACCAGAGACTGGGTAGCTTATAAACAACAGAAATATATTGTTCACAGTTCTGGAGTCTGGGAAGTCCAAAACAAAGGCACTAACATGGTCATATTTAGGTAAAGATCCTCCTCCTAATATGCTGTCCAGTCGTCCGTTCAACCAATCAAAGCATAATGTGCTAATGATATGCTAAGGCCATACCTTATGCCTTCTTGCTGTGTCCTCACATGGTGTGAGGGGCTAGGGGTATCTGTGGAGTCACTTTTATAAAGCCACTAATCATTGTTATTAGAACTCTATTTTTGTGACCTACACACTTCCCAAAGGCCTTTCTTAATAACATTGTCTCTGGGAGGTAGGATTTACCGTATGAATTGAGGGAGGGGAAAAACATTCAGATCATAGCACATTATATTAAACTAGAGGCCCGGTGCACAAATTTGTGCACCAGTGGGGTCCCTTGGCCTGGTCTACGGGATTGGGCTGAAACTGGCTCTCTGACATCCCCAAAGGGGTCCCGGATGGTGAGAGGGTGCAGGCCAGGCCAAGGGACGCCACCAGTGCACGATCGGGGCCAGGGAGAGCCATGGGAGGTTGGCCAGCCAGGGAGGGATGGTGGGAGGGCTACAGGGCATGTCCAGCCGTCTTATTTGGTCCTGATTGGCTGGACTCCAGCAGCAAGCTAACCTACCAGTCAGAGCATCTGCCCATTGGTGATCAGTGCACATCATAGCGACTGGTCAACTAGTCCACTATCTGCCCCCTGGTGTTCAGTGCATGTAATAGCGAGTGGTTGAGCAGCCTTAGCATATCATTAGCACATTACGCTTTGATTGGTTGAACGGACGACCGGACAGCATATTAGGCTTTTATTATAAACGATTTCTTAGCCAGTTTCTTCAAATATCCTTAATTTATGTAGAGCAACCATGAATTAATAGTTTTCTCCATTTTTAAAATTTTTTTCATGGTTCATTACAGATGGTCTGCACATCCAATACTAAATTGCACAGAAGTGGTGACAGGAAGCATCTAACGCCCTCCTGTTTTATTTCTCTATTTCATTGATTTTACCAGTAATAAATTTTATTTTTTATCAAATGTATGTTCGTACATGGTAACTTTATTAGGGGCTAATGAATGACTTTTTAAACAGTTACCATCCAACTTACTGTAACTTTGAGAACCATAACTATAAGGAAGAAAATAACTAATAAGACAGAGTTAGAGAATTGGGTTCCTTTTTCTTAAATTTCATATAATTAGGAGTAAATAAATAGAACATACTACAGAGAAAGTAGCCAAATTATATTACTGCCATTTCCCACTTACAGAAACGAGTTACATAATTTAACAAACAGGAAAGATAGATGGTGTATTTATTGTTTGGCTACATTGGTACGACTTATTTTAACAAAAGTTCTCATATTTAATAATCCAAAATAGTAACTTATTAGCTATATATCAAAAGTATATTAAAAATGGCCAACTTTGCCGTAACCGGTTTGGCTCAGTGGATAGAGCATCAGCCTGCGGGCTGAAGGGTCCCAGGTTCGATTCCGGTCAAGGGCACGTACCTTGGTTGCGGGCACATCCCCAGTGGGGGGTGTGCAGGAGGCAGCTGATCGATGTTTCTCTCTCATCGATGTTTCTGACTCTCTGTCCCTCTCCCTTCCTCTCTGTAAAAAATCAATAAAATATATTTAAAAAAAAAAAATGGCCAACTTTGATTGAAACACCTTTCAATTAATTCATTTCCTTATTCACTATTATACATTAAGTACTATGCTAGGTGCAGGGAGATATATTGTTAAAAGGCTCTTTAGTTTTTCCTCAGAAAATTTATAAACTAGTACAGGAATTAACCAATTTTTTCTGTAAAGGACCACACAATAATAACATAGACTTTAGAGAACTATTTAGTCTCTGTTTTCATGAGGCAAAAATAGTCATAGACAATAGGTAACAAATAAGCATGGATGTGTTTAAATAAAACTTTATTTACAAAGCCAGTGATGGGTCAGATTTGGCCCATGGGTTATAGTTTGCCAACATCTGCTCTAGTGGAAATTAACTAGCAATTCCAATACTACATGGTAAATGCAGTGATAATGAACAAAGGTTGTTATGGAACCTGATCTAAGAGAATCAACATAGGCTTCTGAGAGGGGGCAACAATCTAACTGATGCCCCTATTGTCTCAAATTCAGGAAACAAAAGTAATCTTTATAATATGCTACCATTATAAAACAATTTAAAATCTCGTTCTGAAAATGTAAACCATATTTGACTAAGTAAGAATTGCTTCATTATACAGTATTCTCTTCTAGTTGTTTATGACAAATTATACCATAAATATATCTGAAAGCTTACCTTGAGTGACTGTTTTGAGAACAATTAAAGTTGACAAAAATCTCAATGGCAAATGGGAACTCCTAAAGAAAGCAGCTGTCTTTGGTTTATTCTCCATAGAATGTTCCAAAGAATTATCCTGAATTCCCTTTACTACTCCTTTGAATATGTCTTCACCCAATCTCCTCAATGTTGATGTCATAGTTGAATGCTGTTAAAAAATATATATTAAATTAGCACAGTTATTAATGTTCAGAAAATATAATTTTAAACATTATAAACATACTAGAGGCCCGGTGCACAAAAATTTGTGCACTCGGGGGGAAGGGGAGGTCCCTCAGCCCGGTCTGTGCCCTCTCGCAGTCTGGGACCCCTCGGGAGATAACGCCCTGCTGGCTTAGGTCTGCTCTCGGGTGGCAGAGGGCAGGCCCAATCCCTAGGTGCAGGCCCTGATCGGGCTCAGAGCAGGGCCGATTGGGGAGTTGGGGCACTGCTCCCTGTCACGCACAGAGC